AGCCATGGTCCCCGTCCCAGCACGGTGCTCTGGGTCACCTTCCTCAAAGCTCCTGCCAACTTCCATGTAAACACTTCCCTTATTACTGCGCTTACACAGTACACAGTTCACCTCTGCATGACACTGGTTTGCACGGGGCGTGTGCACCTGGATGCGGACTTTTCTACAGTAAGTACTGTCCACGCACTTTCTCTTCCTTATGATTTCTACTATTTTGTCTACCTTCATTCATTGTAAGAACACAGTATATAGTACATGTAACATGCAAATGTGTGAAGCGACAGTTCATGTTATCAGTAAGGCTTCCAGTCACCAGGAGGCTGTTAGTTCTTATGTTTTGAGGGAGTCAAAAGCCATACTTGGATTTCTGACTGCACGCGGGGGTCACTGCCCCCATCCCCGCATTGCCCGAGGGTCAAGTGCAGGCTGCCCCTTACACTACAACTAATCTCCACAAGAGCCGCATGTTTTCCCTCTTCTTAGTCTCACTGAGCTGTCCCAGACGTAAACATAGCGTGTCCTGTATGTGGCACATGACAATTATCAGGTGAATGAATGAGCAGCTAGAGGACCTCCCTCTTCTAGATGCGCCTCAGGCTCAGCTGATCCATGGCAGCTCCCCCCCGCCCCCCATGCGCCCACCTCGCCAACCGGGCTGCCTCTCTCTTCTCACAGGGCTGCCCTCCCCTCTCTCTCTCTGCTCAGTCCCCCCTCCCCCACACCATGTCTCCTGCACACACAGCACACAGAGTTCTCTCTTCAGAAACACTGTACTGAGGCTTTTTGGGGCCTTTTCTCCAAACACATAGAAATCTACGTTAGACTCTGCTTTATAAATCCAAGAACTTGGATCGGAGCCGGCACTAAGATCAATGAAGTAAGGGCGGGGAGAGAGGACAGAGCAGCAGGGAAGACAGAAACTAACTGAAGTTTAATAAGGGTGAGAAACTCTGATTCCTCCTCTCTCTACCTCCAGAATCTAAAGAATTATCTAGAAAACAGCTCTAGAGGGAGGGGAAGACATGGATGAATCTGAAAGTTCATCCCTCCATACCACAGAACTCGTGTGTGCAGGGGACAACCTAGGCCTGTGGGAACCATGGCCCAAAGGACACCCGCTGCTGTAACCGACGGGGTCACCCAGGGAGAATGGATAAGAACTCGTACACAAGAGCAAGAACAGGCCTGATGCTCTAGAGGAACACTGAAAAAGAACTACCCCAAAATGGAGGCTGTGACCTGATCCAGGCCTGAGCATAAACTGACCCAGTCACAGTAAGCTCTTGCTGCACAAGGTCCTGGTGACAGGGGACATTCAAGTCCCTGTGATCACAGGTCCTGGGGAGACGAGGTTCCACAGAAGGGGCAAGGACACGGAGCAGAGAGATGACCCAGCTGAGGGGTGAGCACGTCACACCCATGATGCACTGAGCACCACTGGGCACAGGCCCTGTCCCCACTCGGCTCCTCACAGCCTTCTCTGCCCCGACCTGCAAGACACTCAGCACAATAAACACAGGGATTCTGGAAGGTTCTCAGGCTTCATTTATTTGCTGTCTCAACTTTACAGATCTCCTCTTTTATTACCTCATCAGACCCACATGCCAAGAATTAGGAAACAAAACTTATATCTGGATTCTAATTTTCAAGAGGGAAATAAGTCATTAGTACTCAGCCCAACGTGAAATAAAGACAGGGATGGAGATGGTCCAGGCCTGCCTCTGCTGGAACAGGAAAGCACATCAGAAAAGAGGATGCAGATCAGCATAGGGAGGGGTCGTGGTGGGCAGGGTGGGCAAATCTCCTCATGTCCTCACATTGTACTCATAAGAACACAGACACATCTGGCACCTTTTGCAGAAAGAGAAGTCAGGGGTTGTGGATATCACCAAGTGGGAGTGTGAACACATATTGCATCACTCAGTCCCCACCAGGCAGCTGGTCTCACACTGTGAAAAAAAATCATGCACCAATTTAGGTCAGTCACATAAGGGCGGACACACTCTCCCTAGTGCCCTAACCCTTCCCCACTTGGGGTCTCTAGGGTCTCACCGTGAGGAGCCGTGAGAGACACATCAGAGCCCTGGGCGCTGTCATCGCCTAGGGGAGAACAAACAGGACGTGGTCAGAGCCCACAGGAGAGGAGACTAGAGGAGGAGCTATGGGGTGGGTGAGCTCCCCGTCGGGTTCTGTCTACAGTATCTCAGGGTCTCAGGGATCACTCCCTCCAAACTTACGTGCAGCATGAGAGTAGCCTGGTCTTTTTCCTCCTGTGGGAAGAAAATATCATGTCAGAAGCCAGAACAGGGCTGGGCCATGAGATCCTAGGGGAAGCTCCCAGTCCTGGTCCTAAATGAAGTTTGCAGAGTTGTGACTGAAGACCCAGGACAGGATCAAGAAACATGAAGGACAAGGTGTGGGGTCACTGGACCACCTGACTTGCTGGAGGTCTGTCCTCAGCAGGGCCCTTTCTCTGTCCTGTGACTGCTGGGAATCAGGTCCCCATCACCAGAGTTACCAAGATGAAAATGTGTCCTTCATTTTCACAAGTGTTTGCTACACAGTGAGCGTTAGTAATCAGCTCCAGAGTGGGCAAGTCCATGCATGAGGATGGTACTTCCCAGTAACAAGGCAGGACAGTCTCCTACCTAGGAAACCCCCCAAAGGGACAAGAAAACTCAGATCTCCCCACTCCATTCCCTACCTGAGCGCTTCTTTCTCCAGATCACAGCTCCAGTCATGGCCACAGTGACCGCAAGGAGAACCAGACCAGCAATGATCCAGATGATGGGGATGGTGGGCTGAGGCGGCTCTGGAAAGGGAAGGGAGGGTGAGGGGCCCAGAGCTCTGGCAAGAGTCCTGACCCTGCTGAAATTCTCCAGAAGGCCTTCTGCTTTCCCTGAGTAGAGGCTGTACCCCAAACCCTCCTTACGCCATCTCAAGGTGAGGGGCTCGGGCAGCCCCTCATGCTGCACATGGCACGTGTATCTCTGCTCCTGTCCAGAAGGCACCACCACAGCCGCCCACTTCTGGAAGGTCCCATCCCCTGCAGGCCTGGTCTCCACAAGCTCTGTGTCCTGGGTCACGTCCTCCCCATTTTGGTGCCAGGTCAGGGTGATCTCCGCAGGGTAGAAGTCCAGGGCCCAGCACCTCAGGGTGACCCTTTGGTCAGAGATGGGGTGGTGCGTCACGTGTGCGTTGGGGGGTTCTGAAGAAGAATCAGAAAATCCACACTTGGGACCTTTATGGGCCACTGAAACGGCATTCATGTGAGCATCCTGAGGTGGACCCAGCCATTGGTTTGGATGGAAGAACCACACAGCCCAGTTACCAAACTAGCCTTTGGGATCCCCTAATCCTGGAAAGTTCTAGATCAGGGAGACAGTCCAGGGAAGGAGGCTGCAGGTCTAAGTGAGAGTGCACACTAATGGTCCTGACTGTGGCGAGGGGTGAATGAGTCAGAAAACCCGGAGTCAGAACTCCAGCGATGTTGTCATTGGAGAACAAGGCCTTGGGAGGGAAAGTCATGGTTCCCAAGGTGGCTGCCAGGGTTAAAGGGAACCGCTGATGGCTTATTTCAGGGACGCTCTCCACCTGCCTCCCGGGAGAGACTGGGTTCCCCCACTGCCCCTTAGCGAGAAGCGGCCCTCTGGGTGAGGCCCTCTCTAGTAGGAACAGGAACACCCGGGCGATCTCCGTGTCCCCACCCGTGGGAGGGGCGGTGTTCTGACACCGAGTCCATTTTCCCTTCCTGGTGGGAACCCAGCCCCAGCGGAGGGGAGGTCGGGGAGGCCCCGCGGCCCCTGGTACCTGCGCGCTGCAGCGTCTCCTTCCCGTTCTCCAGGTACCTGCCGAGCCACTCCACGCAGGTGCCCTCCAGGTAGTTCCTCCAGTTCTCTGCCACACCGGCCGCCTCCCACTTGCGCCGGGTGATCTGCGCCGCCGTGTCCGCCGCGGTCCAGGAGCGCAGGTCCTCGTTCAGGGCGATGTAATCCGCGCCGTCGTAGGCGAACTGCCCGTACCCGCGGAGGAGGTTCCCGTCGGACCCCACGTCACAGCCGTACATCACCTGGATGGTGTGAGACCCTGGCCCCGCCCGACAGGCCGGGGATTAAGTCCAAACAGAAAGTAAAACCGCCTGAAACTTCCCGCGGGTTCGTCCGGGTCAGGGGTCGGGCCGGGGGTTCCCTCAGACTCGGGGTGGCGCTCGGGCCCGGACACTCGGGGCGACCCCGGCCCGTCCGTGGGGATGGGGGTCGTGACCGGGACCCGGGCCCGCGTCGCTCACCGGCCTCGCTCTGGTTGTAGTAGCGGAGTGCGGTCTGCAGGTTCACTCGGAAAGTCTGTTCGCTGTCCTTGGCGCCTCGCGTCTGCTGGGCCCAGTACTCCGGCCCCTCCTGCTCCACCCACGGCGCCCGCGGCTCGTACCTCAGACTGACAGAGTCGCTGTCGAACCGCACGAACTGCGTGTCGTCCACGTAGCCGACTTCCACGTACCGGGGCTCCCCGCGGCCGGGCCGGGACACGGCGGTGTAGAAATACCTCATGGAGTGGGAGCCTGCGGGCGCGGAGGGGCTGAGACCCCGCGCGACCCTCGTCCCGGCGCGGGGCCGGGGCCCAGGGGGAGGCGGCCGGGAGGGCAGGGGAGGGGCACCGAGGGCGGGAGAGCAGGGCGGAGGCGGGGAGGGGCGGGGGGGCACAGGCCGTGGCGGGGCCGGGGGCGGCTGGGGGGCTGGGGCGGGGGCGAAGGAGAGGCGCCTTCCCCGGGGGTCCCGCGTCCCCGCCCCGCGGTCCCCTCGCTCCCGCCCCGCAGAGGCCCTTTCCTCCCGCCGCCGCACTCACCCGCCCAGGTCTCGGTCACGGCCAGGGCCGCCGGCAGCAGCAGGACGAGGGTTCGGGGCATCACGACCTGCATCTTCGGGGTCTGGGGAGACTGTGAGTCGCCGCTGGGCTCCCGGGGCGGGTGCGGAGACTTTATAACCGGGAACCGCGGTGCCGCTGATTGGCTTTTCCAGAAACCCGACACCCAATGGGAATGCGAACCGGCGCGTTGTCAGGAGTCTCCAGGCAGGAGGACCCGACACAGGTTGTGAGACGGAGAAGTGAAACCGGGGAGATGGGGACTCCCCGGCCCTGGGCTTCCCCACCCCAGACACCGCCCTGGGGCCTGAGACCCTGAGAGGCAGGCGCAGGGACCTGGGACTTTGCCCCGACCCCTCACCTACTGCACGGCGCGCTCTTTGTCACACTGTCTCCCTGAGTCGTGGCCCAGGAGCTGTGTGAGTCAGTGATTCTCAAACGCCGTGTTCTCAGGATACCTATACAGTCTCACAGATTACTGAGGATCCCAAGGATATTTTGGGTCTGTGGGTTATATCTATCGGTATTTACCATAGTAGGAATAAAACAGGTTGAGAAATTCATAAATTCATTTAGAATCATTAATAACCCATGGCATGAAAACAAATATTATTTTTATGAAAAATAAGTATTTCCGAAATAAACAGCATGGTGAGAAGAGTGGTTTTGTTGCGTTTTACATTTTTCAAGTGTCTTTCTTGTCTGTCTCCTTAGGACACCCCTGCATGTTCAGATTTGCTTCTGCATTTATTGTGTTGTTTTGGTTGAAATGTATGAAAAAATTTACACACTTGCACAAATAGGGCAGATTAGCATGTTTCATAACCTTTTCAGATACTTCTCTATGTTCATCTTAGATACTACATTAAAACTACACAACTACTTTCTGTAATTTATTTGCAAAGTGGAACGCGAAATTGTATCATGACTATGTCCTTCTCTGTTACATTAAAATCCACAGGCCCATCTTGCACACTGAATGGATCTTGTACTAATGCATGACTTTTTTTTTTTTTTAAGGAATCTGTTGTTTCGTGATATTATATACATGTTCTAGTGTTGATTAGACTGGAATTGAATGATCAAAAAGTCAGATTTGTTTTAATATTACCACAGATCCCAACAGAAAAGTGTGTCAGGAGTGAGAAGCTGTCGTTTCTTGGTGGATCACAGTTTTCCTAAAGTTCTGATTTTCTCTTGAGAGCTGACATTTGATCAAGGCAACAAGTACTCTCAGCTGTCATATGTGAGTTGATGTTCATGAAAGGGTAAGTTCCTATTCATTTTCCAGAAACTGTGTGCCAAATCTCCTAGTCTAAATATTCCAAGTTTCTCTTTCACTCATTCCTTTAGGAAAAATGGCATTCTGTACAAAAAAAAAAAAAGGGGGGGGAGGCCAATTAAATTCACACAAATTATCTTCCTTGGGGGCTTATGCATGTAGTGGAAGTGCTGTACATTCCACATCATCATATAAGACATGTTTAAATGTGGATTTGAGAATATCTAATAAAAAGAGTAATATTTAATGCTTCAATCAGGATATTTTAAAGTGACACTAATCTTGTTTTGTTCTGTTTTTGTTTTTGAGGCATTCTATTTGCAGGTATGTATTACATCCCTAGACAAAGAACGCCAGGATTTTCCTTCCTGTGTGTTTTCATCTTGCTTCTTCATGGTCCATGATGCCAGGTGAGGTTGTCAGGACAATGAAACCAAACTGGAAGGATTCTTCTGCCATTTTTGTAGATCTTAAAGTTGTACATCAAATCCGGGGCTGCTCACTTCACACGTGTTTAACCTGCCCCTGAGGTTCCCAACAATGTTCCCAGCTCTGTGATCAGCAGTGATTTCAAATTCAACAATGTAACCGAGCTTCGTCATCACAGTTAGAAACGGGACAATGACTTTGGAGCATGGCTAATATGACCTGGCTTTGGCCTCTCTCTCAGGCATTGTTACTGCTCTTGAAAGCATCTGCCAAGATATTCAGACAACCACTATGGCGGTGCGGAAAGATGGTGGAAAGAGGGTTTTTGGTTTTTTTTGTGGATGTAAGTAATGGTGAAGAATAACAACTATTGCAGTTTGCACCTCCGTTCTTCTAAGTTTTACCTCAGTGTGAACGTCAACATGGTGAAAAGGCCATTTTGTCTAAATAATGTTAGGAAAATAGATTTAACCTCATGGACTCTGTGAAAGGGCCTCAGTGACGTCAGGTGTTCCCCAGACCACACTTTGAGAACGGCTGTTCTGATAACCCTGGGAGAGTCTCCCGGCTGGTCCTGCCCTGGCCTGTCCTCACTCAGCAGAATCCCTTTCCCTGAGCTGCACTTCCTGCCTCTGAAAACTCAGCTCTGACTTTAGCCCCCAAGTGCAGCTAGAAGAGAACTCACCTCCTGGAAATGTGATGGCGGAGAGGGTCCCCAGTCTGGGAAGGGAGGTGGGGGGACAGGGGTTTCCCTTTTGTAATTAGGAACAGTTTGCACCCGAAGACACCAGACCCAGGCATATGCGACTTTGATTTTGTGACCCACCAGCTTCGTATGTATTCACATCCCAGACGGAATCTGATGTCGTCTGTAAGAGAAATCATGTTGGTCTTTTCACTTTCCATGTGTCTGATGCATCTGACTCATGGCCCAAAAAGCACGCAGAGCAGTACCGTCCGATACGACATTCTGTGCGGAAGGAATTGTTCTATATCTGCGTTGTCCGTTATGGTGGGAGCGAGATGCATGTGGTTCTAGAGATGCAGGTGGCACTTGAAATGGGACTGGTGTCCTGAGCAGTGGCATTTTTAATTGTTTTAAATGAATATGAATTTAAGTAGCCATATGTGGTTCATAGCTACTATTCAGACCTTACCAATCTAGAATGCTCTTAGTTTTCTGGATCCTCCTCAGAAAAGATACTGTGTGACTCATAGGTCTATGTTTATTAAACTTACGTTCAAATGGAAGTCATGGATTGTGTATGTGGGTCTGAGACATATCCTCAAAATACAGCATGAAAGTTTAATTATCATGCATTATAACAGCTGAAGTGTACAGACATTAGCCAAAATATGATGTATCACATCTAGGTCATAAGTGTTCAACAATGCCCATCCCTGGAGCATTGTCTCTATTACTTTGGGTGTCTTGGTGTTGGTTGAGTTCACGTGGTAAACATAAGGAGGCTCATAAGTGTTCACCGAGCCCAGGTGAGAGAATATATTGAATACAACGTGTACCTTGTAGGCTCTGTACGTACTTGTAAAAATCATAAAGCAGAAGATGTACATCTTAGATTCCACAACCTTACTATCTTTTACCTCTTGCTCCTCTTCATACTTTTGCCCAAATCCAGACAATTCTCTGTGTTTCCCTTCACCCTTGAAACCCTCTGCTCTTCATTTCTACCCAGGGAAAAATATACATGAAATGTTTACAATTGTGGAATGAAGAATTCTCTAAGCATGGTCCAATGATGAAAACCCATAAAGAAAGACATGAAATTTTCGAATGCCAGCCCTGCACTCACAAAGATACAAACAATTTTCACAGACAAAAAGGTAACATGCATCATTATTCTTCAGCCCAAGACCACCAGGAGCACCTGTGGGCACTCAAGATGGATCTATTACTTGTTGCAGTGAGAGAGAAGACACTCCTTTGGGGGCCATGGGGCATCCTAATATGAAGGTGTTGGAACCTATAAGGACATGGATGAGTGTTTTGGAGAGGATCTGTGGAAGCTGGGGCCGACTCCTGACTGCGTGTTGTCAGGACGTGTGGGCGATTCCATGGTTGAGCATCTCAGTGAATCTTCTCTCTAAGCAGACCAGACCAGAGCGAGGATAGAGCAGTCATGGCAAAGGAGCGATGTGAGCGATTGCTCACATTGGCTGACACAGGGAGGTGTGTGTTATTCTGTGGGGTGTGCAGTGCCTTGTTTTTGTCTGTAATGACACACAGTGATGTCATGGTTCCAGAGTGTCCTTGTCGGATGCTGATGTTCTGTGATGTTCTGTGGGCTTATGTCCCACAGGAGAAGAATATGGCCAAGGGGTGGACATTAGCCAGCTTCTGACCACACTGAGCCTAGTTGTCAGTGTCAGACCAGCTCCTGATGTTGGCAGGCTGCTGTTTCTTCTCTGTTAAATTCCATGTTTTAAAATAGCTGCAACACATTCAAAACATAATTATAGAATTGGTGTTTCCATTTTCTTTGGGTAAATACCCAAGGGTGGAAGTGTTTGGATTATATGACGAAGCACTATGCTATACACGTGAAAGGAATGGAACATTGTTTTTTGTTTTTTAAAGATTTTATTTATTTGACAGAGAGAGACACACAGCAAGAGAGGGAACACAAGCAGGGGGAGTGGGAGAAGCAGAAGCAGGCTTCCCGCGGAGCAGGGAGCCCAATGCGGGGCTCGATCCCAGGACCCTGGGATCATGACCTGAGCTGAAGGCAGACGCTTAACATGAGCCACCCAGGCGCCCCAGGAATGGAACATTGTGTATCAAATGCACTCAAATATTTAAAAAAGGAAAAGGAAGAAAAAAAGAATTAAAAAATGTTAGAAAACAATTTGGAAAGGAGGAAATGAAATGTCAAACAAATTTATACAGATTTACAAAAACAAATTGTATTGGTAATAAGTAAACATAAATATGAGAATGTGGAATAAGTAACAGGAACAAAACTTAGAATCAATGACCTTGGCAAAGGTGAAAGTAAGGGATGAGCGTGTCTATCAGAGGGTCAGGAAAACACCATCATATAGGTTGATGGGAGTGAACACTGGGATACAATTTTTTTTTATTCTTATGTTAATCCCCATACATCATTAGTTTTAGATGAAGTGTTCCATGATTCATTGTTTGTGCACAACACCCAGTGCTCCATGCAGAACGCGCCCTCCTCAATACCCACCAACAGGCTAACCCATCCTCCCACCCCCCTCCCCTTTAGAACCCCGTTTGTTTTTCAGAGTCCACCGTCTCTCATGGTTCGTCTACCCCTCCGATTTCCCCTGCTTCACTCTTCCCCTCCCGCTACCCTCTTCTTCTTCTTCTTTTTTTTTTTTCTTAACATATATTGCATTATTTGTTTCAGAGGTACAGATCTGAGATTCAACAGTCTTGCACAATTCACAGCGCTTACCAGAGCACATACCCTCCCCAGTGTCTATCACCCAGTCACCGCATTCCTCCCACCCCACCCCCCACTCCAACAACACTCAGTTTGATTCCTGCGATTAAGAATTCCTCATATCAGTGAGATCATATGATACATGTCTTTCTCTCTTTGACTTATTTCACTCAACATAATACCCTCCAGTTCCATCCACGTCGTTGCAAATGGCAAGATCTCATTCCTTTTGATGCCTGCATAATATTCCATTGTATATATCTACCACATCTTCTTTATCCATTCATCTGTCGATGGACGTCTTGGCTCTTTCCACAGTTTGGCTATTGTGGACATTGCTGCTATAAACATCGGGGTGCATGTACCCCTTCGGATCCCTACTTTTGTATCTTTGGGGTAAATACCCAGTAGTGCAATTGCTGGATCATAGGGTAGCTCTATTTTCAACTTTTTGAGGAACCTCCATACAGTTTTCCAGAGTGGCTGCACCAGCTTGCATTCCCACCAACAGTGTAGGAGGGTTCCCCTTTCTCCGCATCCCCGCCAACATCTGTCGTTTCCTGACTTGTTAATTTTAGCCATTCTGACTGGTGTGAGGTGGTATCTCATTGAGGTTTTGTTTTGGATTTCCCTGATGCTGAGCGATATTGAGCACTTTTTCATATGTCTGTTGGCCATTTGGATGTCTTCTTTGGAAAAATGTCTGTTCATGTCTTCTGCCCATTTCTTGATTGGATTCTTTGTTCTTTGGGTGTTGAGTTTGATGAGTTCTTTATAGATTTTGGATACTAGCCCTTTATCTGATATGTCATTTGCAAATATCTTCTCCCATTCTGTCGGTTGTCTTTTGGTTTTGTTGACTGTTTCCTTTGCTTTGCAAAAGCTTTTAATCTTGATGAAGTCCCAATAGTTCATTTTGCCCTTGCTTCCCTTGCCTTTGGCGATGTTTCTAGGAAGAAGTTGCTGCGGCTGAGGTCACAGAGGTTGCTGCCTGTGTTCTCCTTTAGGATTTTGATGGACTCCTGTCTCACATTGAGGTCTTTCAACCATTTGGAGTCTATTTTTGTGTGTGGTGTAAGGAAATGGTCCAGTTTCAATCTTCTGCATGTGGCTATCCAATTTTCCCAACACCATTTGTTGAAGAGACTGTCTTTGTTCCATTGGACATTCTTTCCTGCTTTGTCGAAGATCAGTTGACCATAGAGTTGAGGGTCCATTTCTGGGCTCTCTATTCTGTTCCATTGATCTATGTGTCTGTTTTTGTGCCAGTACCATGCTGTCTTGATGATGACAGTTTTGTAATAGAGCTTGAAGTCCGGAATTGTGATGCCACTGGCTTTGCTTTTCTTTTTCAATATTCCTCTGGCTATGCGGGGTCTTTTCTGGTTCCATACAAACTTTAGGATTATTTGTTCCATTTCTTTGAAAAAAGTGGATGGTATTTTGATGGGGATTGCATTGAATGTGTAGATTGCTCTAGGTAGCATTGACATCTTCACAATATTTGTTCTTCCAATCCATGAGCATGGAACGTTTTTCCATTTCTTTGTGTCTTCCTCAATTTCTTTCATGAGTATTTTATAGTTTTCTGAGTACAGATCCTTTGTCTCTTTGGTTAGATTTATTCCTAGGTATCTTATGGTTTTGGGTGCAATTGTAAATGGGATCGACTCCTTCATTTCTCTTTCTTCTGTCTTGGTGTTGGTGTATAGGAATGCCACTGACTTCTGTGCATTGATTTTATATTCTGCCACTTTACTGAATTCCTGTATGAGTTCTAGCAGTTTTGGGGTGGAGTCTTTTGGGTTTTCCACATAAAGTATCCTATCATCTGCAAAGAGTGAGAGTTTGACTTCTTCTTTGCCAATTTGGATGCCTTTGATTTCTTTTTGTTGTCTGATTGCTGTGGCTAGGACTTCCAATACTATGTTGAATAGCAGTGGTGATAGTGGACATCCCTGCCGCGTTCCTGACCTTAGGGGGAAAGCTCTCAGTTTTTCCCCATTGAGAATAATATTCGCTGTAGGTTTTTCATAGATGGCTTTTATGATATTGAGGTATGTACCCTCTATGCCTATACTCTGAAGAGTTTTGATCAAGAAAGGATGCTGTACTGGGGCGCCTGGGTGGCTCAGTCATTAAGCATCTGCCTTCGGCTCAGGTCATGATTCCAGGGTCCTGGGATCGAGCCCCGCCTCGGGCTCCCTGCTCGGCCGGGAGCCTGCTTCTCCCTCTCCCACTCCCCCTGCTTGTGTTCCCCTCTCTCGCTGTGTCTCTCTCTGTCAAATAAATAAAATCTTTAAAAAAAAAAAAAAGAAAGGATGCTGTACTTTGTCAAATGCTTTTTCTGCATCTATCGAGAGGATCATATGATTCTTGTTCTTTCTTTTGTTAATGTATTGTATCACGTTCATTGATTTGTGGATGTTGAACCAAACTTGCAGCCCAGGGATAAATCCCACTTGGTCGTGGTGAATAATCCTTTTAATGTCTGTTGGATCCTATTGGCTAGTATTTTGGTGAGAATTTTTGCATCCATGTTCATCAAGGATATTGGTCTGTAATTCTCCTTTTTGATGGGGTCTTTGTCTGGTTTTGGGATCAAGGTAATGCTGGCCTCATAAAATGAGTTTGGAAGTTTTCCTTCCGTTTCTATTTTTTGGAACAGTTTCAGAAGAATAGGTATTAATTCTTCTTGAAATGTTTGGTAGAATTCCCCTGGGAAGCCATCTGGCCCTGGGCTTTTGTTTTTTGGGAGATTTTTGATGACTGCTTCAATTTCCTTAGTGGTTATAGGTCTGTTCAGGTTTTCTATTTCTTCCTGGTTCAGTTTTGGTAGTTGATACATCTCTAGGAATGCATCCATATCTTCCAGGTTATCTAATTTGCTGGCATAGAGTTGCTCATAATATGTTCTTATAATTGTTTGTATTTCTTTGGTGTTGGTTGTGATCTTTCCTCTTTCATTCATGATTTTGTTGATTTCGGTCATTTCTCTTTTCTTTTTGATAGGTCTGGCCAGGGGTTTATCAATCTTGTTAATTCTTTCAAAGGACCAGCTCCTAGTTTCGTTGATCTGTTCTACTGTTCTTTTAGTTTCTATTTCATTGATTTCTGCTCTGATCTTTATTATTTCTCTTCTCCTGCTGGGTTTAGGCTTTATTTGCTGTTCTTTCTCCAGCTCCTTTAGGTGTAGGGTTAGGTTGTGTACTTGAGACCTTTCTTGTTTCTTAAGAAAGGCTTGTATTGCTATATACTTTCCTCTTAGGACTGCCTTTGCTGCATCCCAAAGATTTTGAATATTGTGTTTTCATTTTCATTGGTTTCCATGAATTTTTTAAATTCTTCTTTAATTTCCTGGTTGACCCATTCATTCTTCAGTAGGATGCTCTTTAGCCTCCATATATTTGAGTTCTTTCCGACTTTCCTCTTGTGATTGAGTTCTAGTTTCAAAGCATTGTGGTCTGAAAATAGGCAGGGAATGATCCCAAACTTTTGGTACTGGTTGAGACCTGATTTATGACCTAGGATGTGATCTATTCTGGAGAATGTTCCATGGGCACTAGAGAAGAATGTGTATTCCGTTGCTTTGGGGTGGAATGTTCTGAATAGGTCTGTGAAGTCCATTTGGTCCAGTGTGTCATTTAAAGTCTTTATTTCCTTGTTGATCTTTTGCTTAGACGATCTGTCCATTTCAGTGAGGGGGATGTTAAAGTCCCCCAATATTATTGTATTGTTGTCGATGTGTTTCTTTGCTTTTGTTATTAATTGCCTTATATAATTGGCTGCTCCCATGTTAGGGGCATAGATATTTACAATTGTTAGATCTTCTTGTTGGATAGATCCTTTAAGTAGGATATAGTGTCCTTCCTCATCTCTTATTACAGTCTTTGGTTTAAAATCTAATTTGTCTGATATAAGGATTGCCACCCCAGCTTTCTTTTGGTGTCCATTAGCATGGTAAATGGTTTTCCACCCCCTCACTTTCAATCTGGGGGTGTCTTTGGTTCTAAAATGAGTCTCTTGCAGACAGCATATCGATGGATCTTGTTTTTCAATCCAGTCTGTTAGCCTGTGTCTTTTGATTGGGGCATTTAGCCCATTTACATTCAGGGTAACTATTGAAAGATAGGAATTTAGTGCCATTGTATTGCCTGTAAGGTGACTGTTACCGTATATTGTCTGTGTTCCTTTCTGGTCTATGTTGCTTTTAGGGTCTCTCTTTGCTTAGAGGACCCCTTTCAAGATTTCCTGTAGGGCTTGTTTTGTGTTTGCAAATTCCTTTAGTTTTTGTTTGTCCTGGAAGCTTTTTATCTCTCCTTCAATTTTCAATGACAGCCTAGCTGGATAGAGTATTCTTGGCTGCATATTTTTCTCATTTAGTGCTCTGAATATATCCTGCCAGTCCTTTCTGGCCTGCCAGGTCTCTGTGGATAGGTCTGTTGCCAATCTAATGTTTCTACCCTTGTAGGTTACATATCTGTTCTCCTGAGCTGCTTTCAGGATTTTCTCTTTGTCTATGAGACTCGTAAGTTTTACTATTAGATGTCGGGGAGTTGACCTATTTTTATTGATTTTGAGAGGGGTTCTCTGTGCTTCCTGGATTTTCATGCCTGTTTCTTTCCCCAAATTAGGGAAGTTCTCTGCTATAATTTGCTCCATTATTCCTTCTGGCCCTCTCTCTCTTTCTTCTTCTTCTGGGATCCCAATTATTCTAATGTTGTTTCGTCTTATGGTATTGCTTATCTCTCAAATTCTGCCCTTGTGATCCAGTAATTGCTTATCTCTCTTTTTCTCAGCTTCTTTATTTTCCATCATTTCATCTTCTATATTACTGATTCTCTCTTCTGCCTCATTTATTCTAGCACTTAGCGCCCCCATTTTTGATTGCACCTCATTAATAGCCTTTTTGATTTCTACTTGGTTGGATTTTAGCTCTTTTACTTCTCCAGAAAGGGTTTCTTTAATAACTTCCATATTTTTTTCAAGCCCAGCTAGTATCTTTAAAGTGATGATTCTGAACTCTAGATCTGACATGGTACTAATGTCTGTATTGAGTAGGTCCCTGGCAGTCGGTACTACGTCTTGTTCTTTTTGTTGAGGTGATTTTTTCCGTCTTGTCATTTTGTGCAGAGGAGGATGGATTAATGAGAGAACAAAATGCTAGCAGAGTAACCACGTCCCCAGAAAATATACTCTAAACAAATCAGAAAAGACCTGAAGCAGTGGGATAAGAAAGGGAAAGAGAGAAAAAAGAAAAAGATAAAGATAAAGATAAAAACAAAAACAAACAAAACAAAACAACAACAACAAAAGAAAAACCAGAATGTGATCAAATATGATCTATATGGTATATAGATCAGTGCCACACACTAGATTTGGGGTGTATTTTGGTCTTTTAGAAGAAAGTGCCTCCCAAAATTTTAAAGAAAGAAAAACTTATATATGTACAAAAATAAGGGTTGATATGAGGAAGGGATGGAATATGACTGTAAAAATGGAAATTATAAAAAATGTTATAAAAGGAATTAATAAGAAGTTGTTTGAAAAAAGAAAGAAGAGGATTTAAAAAAAGAAAAAAGAGAAAGAGAAAAAAAAAGGGAGAGGATGTGATCAGGTAGGGGAATAGAAAACACCATATACTAGATATTTAGGGTATATTTTGATCTGTTAGAAGAAACTATCTCAAAATTTTAAAGAGAGAACAACTTATATATATAAGCCAAAAATATGGGTAACTATTATGAAGGGATAGAATATGACTCTAAAAATGAAAAATAAAAATGTTTTTTTTAAAAAAAGGGATTGATAAGATGTTGGTTGAAAAAGGGAAAAAGAAAAATTCAAAAAGAAATAAAAAGACAAAAAGACAGTTAAAAAAAAATTAACCTTGAAAGACTAAAGAATCATGGTAAAAAAGCCATGAATTCTATGTGCAGTATTCCCCTAGTGCTGGAGTTCTGCCATTCTCATTGATCGGTAACCTTGGTCTTGGCTGGCTGTTCTCGTTGATCTTCTGGGGAGGGGCCTGTTGCCGTGGTTTCCAAATGTCTCTGCCGGAGGCGGAATTGCCCCGCCCTTGCCCCCTCCCAGCTAAGTAATCTGCTCGGGTTTGCTCTCCGGGGCTTTTGTTCCCTGCGAGCTTTCCCTACAGCTTTGGAGGCGGAGAGTGAAAATGGCGGCCTCCCAATCTCTGCCTCGAAGGAGCCGAGAACTCGGGGCCCCGCTCCTCAGTGAGGCCCCAGAGAAAAGCCGTCAGTCACTCCCGTCTCCCCGGTCTCCGGCCACACTCCGTGCTCACCCGGCCTGCGACCGCGCGCCTCTATCTCTGGCACCCGACCCCGGGTGGAGTCTCCAAACCCAGCAGATCCCTGCGGTGCACTCCCGCGCACCTCCTCCCGGGGGAGGAAGGTGAGTCTCCCCGGATCTGCCGCTTGTTGGGTCCCTGCTGGAGGAGCAGTGGTCCGACTGTGCCGCGGATCACGGTTTATGGCCACCCCGAGCTGAGAGCCCGCGCCTGGGCTCCGCCTCTGCAGCCGGCTTCCCTGCTCTGTTACCTGGGAGCTCGGCCACACTCAGGCACCCCCGGTCTTTCTGTGACCCCGAGGGTCCTGAGACCACACTGTCCCGGAGGGTTCCACCCCCCGCTTAGCCACCAGAGTGACGTCCCTCGGCGGAGCAGACTTTTAAAAGTTCCGATTTTGTGCTCCGCGGTTCTATCACTTGCCAGAAGCGGCCGACGGAGGCCCCTCCCCCGCCGTCTATCCTCCCGAATATCGCCTCGGATTCACTGCTCCACATGTCCTACCTTCCAGAAAGTGGTCGCTTTTCTGATGAGAGAGTTGTTGCTCTTCTTTTCTTCCATCTCCTGTTGGGTTTGTAGGTGTTCAGAATGGTTTGATCCCTATCCAGCTGAATTCCTGAGAGGAGAGGATCCAGGTCTCCTACTCCTCCGCCATGTTGCTCCGCCCCCTGGGATACAATTTTTAACAGGTGTTTTTGTAAACTATCTCCACAATTTAAATGTGCTTATATTATGACACAGACAATTTTTTTAGGAGTTTATCCAAAGAGATAATCACACGTGTTCTCAAAAGTATATTGTCAAGGATGTTTCTTGACTTGGGTTTATAAAGCAAAGAAGGGCTTAAGGTGATAATGGTATCAACAGTGGAACATTAACATGTCTCAGGGATTATCACCATGTGATTTACACAGAGAGTCGCAGTCAATCATGAAAGCAAACCCAGGAGGCACCCCAGAGGGGATCCCTTTGTACGGACAGGAAAGGGAGACTTGGAGAGGAGAAGGGGGTGGTGCAGCCAGGGTTCAAACCAGAAGGTTTGCTCTCAGAGGCCTTGTTGACTTGTTGTTCACTGTTCCCTGTCCATAAGGGGGTGGGTATTATGTGCACTCCATGTAAGTGAATTGTTGCAATGTTCCAGAATTTTCTGCGACAGGAGGTTGCTGGGCTCAGAGCTTAAGAGGACATTAAGGGGCAATGTGACTCACCTGCTCAAATAACACTGAAGCCTATCATCCAGTGGACATCTGGAGGCCTCCAGGGGCTCAGAATCAGCTGGACTCCAGAGCTACAACCCAGAGCAAGGGTGACACCCTGGTGACGAGACACTGGCAGTGTCATGTGGGAGATGGGCATGGAGCAGAAATGACAGAGGGAAACGTAAGTTGCTCCTGAGATGAGTGTTGTGTGGAGGAAGGTCATGGTATCACGAAAGCAGAAACCAGGAGACCCAGCAGGTCCCCTAACTAGGATCAGTCATATCCACAGGATGCAACAGGCATATGGATATGAAACAAAAACACAACTACACACAGTGCTGTGCAATCACAGAACAGGAAAGAGCTCTGGGAAATGAACAATATGACCATAGACATGAATAATTGAGTGGATACACTGGATGACTAAAGTTGTCCTTCCCTGAAGTTGTACAATCGGGAGGGTGAAGGCAGCAGGAGAGAAGACCTGTTTGTTTCTTTTCTTTTCTTCTTAAGATTTTATTTATTTATTTGAGAGAGCGAGCACAAGCAGGGGGAGCAGCAGAGGGAGAGGGAGAAGCAGACTCCCCGCTGAGCAGGGAGCCCAACCCAGGGCTTGATCCCAGGACCCCGAGATCATGACCCAAGCCAAAGGCAGACGCTTAACTGACTGAGCCATCCAGGTACCCCAGAAAGACGGTGGAAGGGCAGACACCCTGAAAACTCCAAGAGGCAACAACACAGGGCTGGCAACTGGAAGACATGAGGCAAGGCCCCCAAATTCCGGGGACAACTCTGTCCAGCACAGAGTCTCTGTCATGTCACCATGTAACTCTGGGGCGAGGGCAGCCTAAGGGCTTCTCAGATGTGAGAGTTTCTGTTCTACTTGCCATGTTTCCTTCCCCAGGACACCAGTAGGCAAAGTGGGACAAATGATGGAGAAAACCAGACAGGGAGAGCACATGGGATCCCGGCCACAGGGAGCCAGCAGAAGAGAGGCCAAGGGCCCCCAGGAGGAGCTGCAGGGGTCCGAGTGTCAGCCCTGTCCCAGGGGTGCAGGCATCCTGTCCCCATGGGGCAGGACTGAGGGCTGCAGGCCAGGGGGCTGCACGGGCAAGAAGATGGGAGAAGAGTGAATGGGCTTGAGTTCATGAAGACTTACCCAGGGGGAGTGGGGAAGGATTTAATAGGAGTTCAACAGAAACTAAGCAAATGAAGGGATAAGATAGTTATTTAGGGAAAATAAAAAGTTGATTCAGGAAAGGACATGTAATCATAGTCTATGAAATGCTCAGTTGTGACTAGTGATGTAGGAAAGAAGTTATTAGGGTTCGAAGCCGACGATCAAGAAAGAATTCTTGAGACATCTTTGGTGCAAAAAGGTGGTTTTATTAAAGCCCGGGGACCCGTGGGCAGAAGGAGCTGCAATGGGGTCAGGAGGAGTGGCCTGTTACATACTTTCAAGTTGGGAGGGGGGTAGGGATAGCAAAAGTCTCTAAGGAAATTTGGAAGCGAGGTTTCCAGGATCCTGAAGGGGCTAGCTATTGTTGGGAAAAGGTCATTTATTACAGTCTAATAAAACCTTAGTCAGGAGACCCTTCAGATGTATATTGGTGGGCCATATGCTTGGGGGATGATACATACCAACATGTATCTTGGAAGGCTTAGAGATAAAGGAAGTTTAGACTTACAGGATTGGGGGGGTGGTCAGACTAGGATTGTGTTTTGCCCTTAGCGAAGTATTAACATCGAGGCAGCTGAGTCCCTAGAGGAAGGTCGCTGTGCCTGTTTCAAGGACTTGTCAGTGGTCTCTAGGTAGTAAGGAAATTTAATCATTTTTCTTCTGCCTTTGTTTCCCACATCAACTAGCATGTCATGGTCATAATAATGCAAACACTGCACATTGAGCTTGTCAAAATTATCAAATAATTATATGGGGAAGATGGGAGTGTGTGAAAGAAGAGCCAATTCAGTAAAGTTGATGCATAAACCTGAAGACCAGAGAACAGATGTGAGAAGCAGGCTACTTAGAAGCACAGAAGCAATAATCAGAGAATCAGCTAGAAGAACTAATGCAGGTGGTCTCAGAGATTCAGGAAATGGGGGCATGGAAGCTTGGGCACATCTGTCTTGATATCAAGAACTACAGACATATTTGACTTTCTGGAACTCTGTGCCTCTATCCATTGGCTACAAGGACAACATGGTGGGTGAGATGGGTCAGGAAGAGTTCTGCACGGAGGCCACAGAGATGGGGCAGGAGTTGGAGGAGTCCTGGGAGCAAGCACTGGGTTTTTATAGGATGATTTTGTTTTGGTTTATTTAGTTTTGCTTCAAGTTGTTGAACGGGAGTCATGGCAGCATGTTTGTAGGAGGAATGGCTGAGCCAGGAGACAGGGGCAAGTGCATGATGCAGGTGAGTGAGGGGCCATGTGTGCCCACGTGGAGGGGCAGCCTGAGACAGGAAGGCCCCTCCCCCAACACTGCTTAGAAGCTGAGGACACAGGTGCCGACCTGGGGTGGGGGATGGGGGTGCACAGTTCTCACCTGAGTCCTTCTTTTCTGAGTGAGGAACAAATGAGCTTGTCACCTCAGAGAGGGGAGCAGGGAGGGAGTGCAGGAGGCTGAGCAGGGAAGAGCAAGTGAGAGGCAGGCCTCTCAGGAGGGTGACAGGGAGCTGACTGGGGAAATGGCATCTGGAGAGAGCAGGGCCGAGGCCCCTGAGTCTGAGCTCATCACCTTAGAAAGAGAAACTTCCAGCAGCAGGGGGATATAGAAGAAACTAGAAGCAAATGCAAAAAAAACAGCTCAGGAGTGAGAATTACATCCTTTTTACTTTGTCATTTATCACTTTTCGCATTTTATAATTTTTCTGCAGTGAATAGACGTACATCATATATATTATACATCATGCATACACATCAGAATCAGAATGTAAATGCTTTATTTACACTTTAAAAAAGGAGTTGGTGGGAAAGTCAGCAACTCAGGGCTCAGAGCTGGAAGGGCTGGGCCACCCGGTTGCACTCTGGGCAGGGGACTCACAGAGCCTTTGCTCCATGTCTCAGGAACCTGCTTTCTGGGGGGCCAGGCAGGGTCTTTTCCTTCGTTTTTTTTTTTTGGGAGGTGCTCATTGTTTCATTTAGTACTATCATGTCAGGTTTAATGCTTTCAAGCTGATGGTTTTTCTACATTTCAAGCTATTTCAGTGGGAGAATTTGTCCATCCAGCCCACCTGTTTCACAAATACAAATTCAAAGGCCAAATAGTTCAGTGAAAAGATAATTGGCCCTAAAGTAGAAGTTCAGAATCTGAGTCTTCATTTATGGTCTGAGGATGATCTGTCAGGGGTTAGGGATTTTAAAGTAGTGTATTTTTTGAAAACTTTATTCATGCACATACAAGAGAATTCAATAGATACTCACAAATGTACAAAAATAAAGAAGTCGCATGGTAACCCCTCATCCCCCAGTCGCCTAAGTTCTCTACCCCAAATCCAGCACAGTCATGTGTCTTATCAGAAAAATACATCTGTGCCCTAATGTCTACTGTTACATCAGGAAACATGCTCAGGACACAGACTGGGAGAAAATATTTGCAAATCCCATATCTAATAAAGGACTTGCTGTAGAATACTCATAAAACCCTTAAAAAAGGACCAATAAGAAAAGAACTCATTTTTTCTTTTTTTTTAAATTTTGTTCAGGTAGCCACTGTATAGTACATCATTAGTTTTTGATGTAGTGTTCAATGATTCATTAGTTACATATAAAAGAACTCATTTAAAAAATGAGCAAAAATGGGGGTTGGGGCTGGGCGGGGTGCGGGGGTGGGACTAGAAACTCGGGGGAGGAGCTTGAGTGCCTGCCCCTAGCCGGGTTCTGCCAACATTCCTGTCGGGGCTCTGGGCTCTGGTTATTGCGGTACAGCGGCGGGGGGTTCCCGGCGCCCCCCGGAGACCAGCGCTCGCTTGCCGTGGAGCCGCAGCGGGGGATGGAAGCGGAGAACGCGGGCAGCCCTTCGCTTCGGCGAGCTCGAGCTTTTTCTACATCCCCATGCCCACGAACGATGGCTGGAGCTCCTGATGGGGCAGTGGTGAGGGAAGAGCAAATACGGCACAAGTTCCAGACCCCGCTCCTGCTCGCGAACCTGCTGCACATGAGACCCCAAAAGGAAGGAAAAGAAAACCCAGGGCAACAGAACCAAAACACCCAGTAGAACCCCAAAAGCCTGCTGAGGCCAAAAAGTCTGACTAGTCCACAAAATCAAAAGAAAAGCAAGAAAAAAAAATTACAGACACATTTAAAGTGAAAAGAAAGGTAGACTGTCTTAACGGTGTTTCAGAAGCTGAACTTCTAAGACCTCCCGGACATTTTGACCTTCAATCTGAACATTGTGATTCTTGGCATAAACCCAGGACTAATGGCAGCTTACAAAGGGCATCATTACCCTGGACCTGGAAACCATTTTTGGAAGGGTCTGTTTATGTCAGGCCTGAGTGAGGTGCAGCTGAACGGGGTGGATGATCATGCTCTACCAGGGAAGTATGGTATTGGATTTACCAATGTGGTGGGAAGGACACCACGCAGCAAAGCTCTTTCCAGTAAAGAATTTTGTGAAGGAGGACGTATTCTCGTGCAGAAATCAGAGCAACATCAGCCACGGATAGCAGTGTTTAATGGAAAATGTATTTATGAATTTTTTAGTAAAGAAGTTTTTGGAGTTAAGATTAAAAACTTCGAACTTGCACTTTGGCCCCATTAGATCGCAGACACAGAAACTCCCTGCCCTGCTATGCCATCATCCAGTGCAAGATGTGCTCAAGTTTCCTCGAGCCCAGCACGAAGCACGTTAAGCTGAGAGACTTGAGAGATCAGTTGAAAGGCACTGAACCAAACACAGACAGACGTTCAAGAAGTGAATGTACGTTTGATCTACAGCTAGCCCAAGAGGATGCAAAGAAGATGGCTCTTAAGGAAGAAAAATATGACCCAGTTTATGAAGCAGCGTCTGGCGTGCTTTTGCTGAAAATCCGAGCAACGTCGACCCTTGCAGCTTCCCTTCCACGGGGCTAAGTCACAGTGGAGAATCAACTTTCGGGGATATTCCAAATGGGCAGTGGATGACGCAGTCCTTTACAGACCAGATTCCTTCCTTTAATAATCATTGTGGGACACAAAACGGGAAGAAGGAAACCATGCTTAAGAGTGGTGATTCTCAGCTCTACCTCAATGCTGCAGTTGTCAAGAAGTGGTCCTCAGTTTGCTAACTGAGGCATTTTGTTAGTATTTTACTCTGTGATAGAATGATAGTACATTTGTGTGGTAGAATCAACTGGATGAACCTAAGCAAGGTGGGAAGGGAAAAGGAGGACTTTTTGTGTATGAGTTTTTGTATTTGAATTAACCATCATTCCAGCTTTTTATAAACTATATTTCCTCTATGAAGAAATTGATCTTCTTTTGGGAGTCACTTTTAATCTGTAATTTTAAAATGAAACGGTCTGAATATTTATACTTGATTATGAACTGCGCATAAACCCAGATACACCGTTATTCCTTTTATGCCTAAGAAGGGAATGCTAATCATAATTACCACTGGAAAAGAGGCCAATGTGTTTGTTTTTATATATGAAGTTAACCCACAGTGCAGTCTATTTTGGTAGTTTTTAGCGGGGTTTGATGGGCTCCCTGAGTCGTATTCACACTCACACCTCTTTGCCTCACCAGTGGGGAGATTTGTGAGAGGTGCAGTCGAAATGTAAAGTGTGGCCTTCTAGCAGTAAGGCTAGGCTGGCCTTCTCTGATGGGGCACCAAGGCCTGGCTTTGGCCTCCTCACCCCAGGCATTAATCCTCTAGTAGAGGCAAAAATTGTTCTGCTGGGATGGGAAGCTCCAGAGAATGCCGTAGACCTTTTTAAGTTTGTTGCTTCCTCTGTGTTTTACTTGAGAGACATACATTTGATAGGGAAGGAATTGAATTTTTTTTCTTTCTTTCTTTCTTTTTTTTAAAGATTTTATTTATTTATTTGACAGACAGAGACATAGCAAGAGAGGGAACACAAGTAGGGGGAATGGGAGAGAAGCAGGTTTCCCGTGGAGCAGAGCACCTGATGCGGGGCTCGATCCCAGGACCCTGGGATCGTGACCTGAGCCGAAGGCAGACACTTAACGACTGAGCCACCCAGGTGCCCCTGATTTTTTCTTAGAATAGCTCTCACCATTCTATTTTTATCTTCCTTGCCTTTCAGGGTATAAGGGGGAAAGTGGTGAGAAATGAACTCTCGGGCTGAGCAACAATATGCTGGATGTGTTTGATAATCTTGAAACTGGTGCTTGATGTACCTGAGATGTATTAACATAACAGATTTTTTCTTGCTAGATATATCTAATCAATAATTGACAAAATCTTCTCTGCATCATTGCTATCTGTTACTGTGGGCTAAGTGAGCCTCGTGTCAGGGTGAGTTTGCAGTCACGTACCTTTGTGATTTTCTAATGCCTTTTCCGTGGTGCTACAAAGAGTCCAGACTAGTAGGCCTGGGGGATAGTAAAGCTGGGTGTTCAGATATGCCATTTGCTATTACTCCCGGTCACTTCTGAATATGCTGATTTCATACATACCCAGAGAGCATGCCATTTTTCAATATGAAAATATTTATGAGGTTTTCTTTTTTTCTAAGAGATTATACAGCCTGTTCTTCTCTATATAATGAGAGAAACAAATTCTTGTGAATCTTAACATACTTTATAGCTGTGGCTATGATGGAATTTATGTTTCCCTTAGTCTAGGTCAAGCTGTGTAAAAGTTATTCAACTCATGTTATCTCACTCATGTTCTGTACTGCTGTTTACACCGATGTTTTATTTGCGTCCTTTGAAATGCCTTGCATCAGGGTTTAGGAACAATGAGTTATTTTTTCATGTAAAGCATGTAAGTAGGAATTGCTTTGCTATATAATGATTGTAGCCTTATAACAATAGATTTTTTTTTATTTGAGTGGAGAAAATACTCTTTAAATTATGATGGACACTCATTAGAGAATGGGTTTGGGGATTTTCCAAGCATATAATAATGGTGTTTTTCATGACATATGAAAGATGAGTAGTAAATGTTGATATATGACAATACGAGAATTTTTCATTAAAAATATTGGAAAAGTTTTTAAATTCATTTGAAAAACGGATGGGTTTCCCAATAAAAATATAAGAATGATTATTAAAAAATGTGCAAAAATCTGGAGAGCTGAAGAAGATACACTCATGGGTAGCAAGCATATGAAAAGATGTTCAACAAAAAGTGTCACCGGGGAAATGCAAAAGACAACAACAGTGATCTGCCATCACACGCCTGTTAGATGGCGGGAATCCAAGCACTGATATTGTCACCTGCTGCCCGGGACAGGGAGCCCAGAAAGCCTCAGTCACTAAGGGCACGAATACAAAATAGCATAGCTGCCGTGGGAGACGGTCAGCAGTTTCTTATGAAGTCACACATGGACTGAGCACACAAGCTGCTGATCCCCCTGGAAGGTATTTACCCACCTCATTTGAGAACTCACGTTTGCACAACAACCTGCATGCAAACTGTCACCGCGGGACAGCCCTCGCCTGTGGGCTGCACATCCTGACTTCCTTCCAAAGACTACTTTATGGAGAGGGACAAAGCAAGAGAAGGAACTTCACAGGGAGCATGTGGGTAAGACGACCTTAGCCCGGGGGTGAAGGTGAACTTCATCCGTGACGAGCAAGGGATCACTGCGTGTTCTTGCTATGTGGCGTGGAGAAGGGCCCAGCCAGGTGTGGTCTTCCCAAAGCCCACAGCCTCAGCCAGCCTGATTCACAATGACAGTCTACAATGTACCCGAAGCATCTCCTCAAACATGTCAGGGCCATGAAAAACAAGGACATTCTGAGACACGGTCACAGCCAGGGAAGCCTGAAGGAGACATGATGGCACTCAATGTGGTCACTTGGACGGGGTCTTGGGAGAGAAAACAAAACCATGACAGCAGATCCCGTGTGGAGATCCGTAGTAACGTATGAATATTGGGTCATTAGCTGTGACAAATGCATGACGGTGAGATTGGTGTTAACGACAGGACAACTGAGTGTGGGGCACACAGGGACTCTGCACTACCTTTGTCACTTCTCTGTAAATCTCCAACTGTTCTAAGATAAAGGAGTGTCTTTTGTAAAAGAGCCCTCAGCGAGGGAATCAGTCCAGGAGGAACAAGGATCTACTCTTCGGTTTTCCTGGGCTTGTCAGACGGGGGCTGGAGAGAGGGGTTGTGGGGAGGACAGATGGAAACTCAGACACGGGGCAGGGCTCCAGAGCGCTCCTCTCCTCGGATCCCCGCCCCCCTGCACCTGCCCCCAGGGCTGCTCAGAAGGCCCCTTCCTCCGCCCCCCTCCCCCATGCCCAGCCTGCAGGTCAGCCCTCTGGGCCTGACTCAGCTCAGCCCAGTGCTCCCCCTGGCGGTGCAGGACCGGAGCGCCGCAGCGCCCCCGTGTGGCCACAGGGCTGAGGGCGGGAGACCTGCGCGCCCTCTGGGCTTCTCCCCAGGGACCTCCCCAGGGTCTCCCGGGGTTCCCAGCAGGGGCACGGGGCTGTGCACACAGGGGAAGCCCCCATCCAGTGTCGAGTCCTCAGTCTGAATTGTCTCCCAAAATACATGCTGACATAGGTGGTTTCTCCCCATTGAATGACCATGGACTCTGGCCTCAGGGAGGAACAGATCTTCAGGCCATCACGGCTGGTTCCCAGGTCCGCAGTGGACCCCACACACATGCTGGGTGCCCTCAGTTCCTCCTGGGACCTTGACCCCGGGTCCCTGTCACTTGTTCTTGCTGCTGCTTCAGGGCGAACGGGTCCTCCTCCAGGGAACCAGCTCTGGATTCTCAGTTCCTAAGGTCAGGTAGGAGGGGAGGAGGAGGGGCGGGGCTCCGCTGGGAGATGGCCTGGAACCTGGGGCTGCTCCCGGAGGAGTGAGCAGAGGGAGGAAGTACTGACATTAGGGGGTGGGGGCCAACAAGAGTGCAGGCGGAGGAACCCGGGACAGAGTCAGGGGGAGGAGTCGTCTTAGGGACACTTGTGGGAGAGGATGTGTTCTGTCTGGAAGAGGCGCAGGGACTTCTGGCTGGAGCCCTGGCAGCGGTCTCTGGTTGTCACCTGATGGTCATCACACAGGGGTGAGCTCTGTCATTGGTCAGGAAACTGTACTTAAGTTCAGGCATTTTCCACACTGACACTATGAATAGTTCAAACATTCCAGAAAGAAGGGAAAAGCAGAGAGAGGGGAGGTGTCTAAGGGGCTTCCTCTCCTCCAGAGCAAGACCCCCTTATGCTGGGGAGGCCGGGGCGTCAAGGAACTGAGAGGAAGGGGGAGCAAGTCCCGTGCACCCTGAAGGGCCAGCCCTGGTTTCTGATTCTGGAGTTTCCAGATTCCCACTCCCTGGGCTAGGGTTTCTCAGCCCCCTGCCGTCCACCCCTGTTTTACAGCCTCTGCCACCTGGAAACCGTCTCTACTTGTGAAGTCAGTGGAACCCCTGCTCCATGAGGAGCAGCCCCAGAGACTCTGACAGCGAGGGGCCCAGCAGCTGGAGCCATGGAGATGCCATCCTGGAGCTCGGAGGTACAAGGACATCAGCCAGGACTCAGGGCCCAGGCTTCTGCCTCACATTTCCTCCAGGACCCACATGTGTCTTCTCCCCTCTCCCCAGGCCTGCAGAACCCGGGCGTCTGAACACCATGCCCAAGATGACCAAGGGGGGCAGCTCCTGTGCAGGGGTCAGACCCCACCTTTTGGAATCTGGAGGGTGGCCCCCCTTCCCTACCTGGAGCGCCCAGGACCCTGGTCTGCTGCCTCTTCTACCCCTTGGTGCCCCTTAGGACCAGGGACCTGGTATCTGCATCCTTCAGACCTGGCTTCCTGCCCCTGCAGACTGGGAAATGACAAACTGCTTTTGTTGCATCTACAGATCCCACATTGTCATATCTGTACATGGTCATTCAGGTGAAGGGAATTCTGACATCCCTTGTGATTGCCTCTCTAAGCCATGATGACACATGGGTTTGATGTGTGTTCTCATTTCCAAATATTTGGGGATTTTCTAGAGATCTTCATGTGATGGATTTCTAATTTAATGTCACTGTTGTCACAGAGTATAGTCTATAATTTGGCTGCCTTTACATTTATTGAGACTTATTTTAGTTTCAGTCCAGGGTCTGTTTTGGCTGACAGTATGGTTAAAGTCCTGTAATCCTTACTTGTTCTATTAATGAGAGAGGAGTATTGATGGCTAAATATCATAGTTAATTTGTCTATTTCTTTACAGTTCTGCCCCTTTATGTGTCACCTATTCTAGAGCTCTGTAATTAGGTTCTTCTCCATTCATTACTTTTGTCTTGCTGTGATGTTGACCTGTTATCCTCCTAGAAAGTCCTCTTTGTCGCTGGTGATGCTCCTTGTGTGAAAGTCTATTTTGCTTCAGAATAAAGCAACATTCCCGATTTCTTATGCTTTTTATTCCCTCAGGATATTCCTTAATCCCTTAACTTTTTACCTATTTTTGGTTTTATATTTCAAGGTTTTCTATTTTACATAGCATATAGTCTATCTTGATATTTATGCAGCCTGATAATCTCAAACTTTTGTTTAGAATTTTAGTTGGTTTACAGGCCTGATAGCAAGAACTGGCAGTACCAAGAAACTATCAGGAAAGGAGATCTACTGCTAAACAGAGTTCAGAAACTTCCAGAGTAATTAATATGTAAAACCATGTAAACAAAGGGTTTCCTTTAGAGATAACTATTTGGAATTTTTATAGCTTACTTTACTAGGTACCCAGTTCAACTGTATAAAATAAATACTGCATTGTTGTTTCTGTTAAAAAAAAAAAGAATTTTAGTTGGTTTATATTTACTATGATTCCTAATGTGGTGGGATTTGGGTCTATGATTTTGCTTTTTGTTTCTGAATTGTCCCTTCTCTTTTCCATTCTCATGCCTCCTTTTGTACCTTCCTTGGTTTCCAGCAAATATTTTTTGTTTATGATTTGATTCTTCTCGTGGCTATATTTATGTCCATTAATTTTTAATTGAAGTTGTAGGAATTGAAACCTGCATCTTCAGCTTTTCACAGTCTACTTAAAGTAACTTTGAACTCCATCCAGTAAATACAGGAAACTTGTAGCAACAGAGTTCCAGTTAAGCCCCTCTGTGCTGCTGTTGGAACACATATCACCAACACACAGTATAAGCCAGAGAATATCATGAACTAATTAGTGCTTTGAACAGCCATACGTCTTTTAAAGAAATTATGAAGAAAATTTACATAAAGAGAATAGCACCATTTCTCTTGTTAATTACTCCATTCTGTACGATACCATCCAGTGTCACTTCCCTTTGTCTGCAGGACTTCCTCTAAAATTAGTTCAGGGCAGGAGAGCTCGCAGTGAATTCTCCCAGTTTATATTTAGCTATACTTATCTAAAGTTTATCTCCTAGTTTATATTTACCTAGTTTATATTTATCTTTCTTTTGCCATTTTACTCTATACTTTTCTCTTATTTCTTAAGATTCTCATATGAAATAAAATTCACCCAGATATCCATTGACAGATGAATGGATAAAGAAGATGTAGTGTGTATTTTTATACAATGGAATATTACTCAATCATCAAAAAATGAAATCTTACCATTTGCAATGATGTGGATGGAACTAGAGGGTATTATACTTAGTGAAATAAGTCAGCCAGAGAAAGACAAATACCACATGATTTCACTCATATGTGGAATTTAAGAAACAAAACAGGATCATAGAGGAAGGGAGAGAAAAAGAAAATAAGACGAAATTAGAGAGTGAGTAAAAGCATAAGAGACTCAACTATAGGAAACAAACTAAGTGTGGCTGGAGGGGAGATGGGTGGGAGGATGGGGTGGCTGGGTGATGGGCATTAAGGAGGGCACATGTTGGGGGGGCCTGGGTGGCTCAGTCGTTAAGCATCTGCCTTCAGCTCAGGTCATGATCCCAGGGTCCTGGGATCGAGCCCCGCATCAAGCTCCCTGCTCGGCGGAGAGCCTGCTTCTCCCTCTCCCACTCCCCCTGCTTGTGTTCCCTCTCTCACTGTGACTCTGTCAAATAAATAAAAAATCTTAAATAAAAAAAAAAGGAGGGCACATGATGTAATGAGCACTGGGTGTTATCTGCAACTAATGAACCATAAAGTAACTCTGAAACTAGTAATACACTATGTGTTAATTAAGTGAATTTAAATTAAATTAAATTAAATTAAAAAAAATAAAATTCCCCAATTGCAGAGGTGCAGTTACATGAATATCAACCATTGTTTAGACTCATGGAACTAGTCCGACAACGAGTATACAGAACAGGTCCCTGATCCTAAAGTTCCCTGACACCGATTTGCATCTGGTCCTCTCCCCCTGCCCCCAGCCCTGGGCCACCACTGGTCTCCTTTCTGTCTGTACTTGGGACATCCCTCATTCTATTTGATTGATCACGAGGGGGCTCTCTTTATCTCCAGCAATGCGTTCTATGCAGTGGGTTCTCTGTGGGCGGACCAGGAATCCGTACTGTCAACAAGCACATAGGTTCTTGTGCCTTTGCGGTGTTAGGATGGCTGCTGGAGGGGGTGGGAGATCTGGGCGGGGCAGGGTGTTGGAGGGGGGCGGCTGTGGGCTGGGAATGGAATGATGACACACAGTACCTGGAACACAGGTGCCAAGTCTTCTACCAGGAACCAGGGGACGGAGCCGTTTGATATGCGGAGACCACAGATGTTCTGCTGTCCTTGAGAATCCCCTGATGGGACGGGAGGGGGTCCGCCACACAGGTCTCTTCACGGATGCCCAGTATGGGCCCAACATGGCTGTGGGGATGAGCACATGTCTGAGCAGGTGTCAGGAGAGCCCTGGGGAAGCATGTCCAGTTCAAGGATGCAGGCTCAGCTGATCCATGTTCCACTGAACCTAAAGAACGAGACTCTTTTCCCTGTGAAAGAATCCTGACAAGTAAATGATGGCCTCTTTATCTTTTTTTTTTTTAAGGTTTTATTTATTTGACAGAGAGAGACATAACACAAGCAGGGGGAGTGGGAGAGGGAGAAGGAGAAGCAAGCTTCCCGCTGAGCAGGGAGCCCGATGTGGGGCTCGATGTGGGGCTCGATGTGGGGCTCGATGTGGGGCTCGATGTGGGGCTCGATGTGGGGCTCGATCCCAGGACTCTGGGATCATGACCTGAGCCGAAGGCAGACGCTTAACGACTGAGCCACCCAGGCGCCCGGCCTCTTTATCTTTTAAAGAGCTCACCTGCTCCTCCTCGCTATTCAAGGTCACTCCTTCCATCTGGGGATTTTCATGTGGGGCAGTTTGGTGTCTGCAATGGTGAGCGCCCAGAACTGTCACGTGGTGACCCGCACAGCCCAGATGCCCTCCTTCTGGCAGAGAAATCCTTCCCTGCCCCTCACCAACTCTCAAGCCACTCTCAGAAGGCAGTGTCCCCAGTATGACCGTGCCACCATCCAGCGGTGGGTCCCAGAGGAGTAGCCCTCCTGACCCAGCACACAGGGGCTGGTGTTGAATCTCTGGGGATGAGCAGATGGCCCAGCAGAGAGCCTCTCAGAGTCCCACGTGTCCATCCTCGGAGACCAGGAGCTTGGGGTGAGCAGAGTTCCTGGTGCAGGACCACTTCTACTGCTAGAGAAAGAGACTGAAGGTCAGAGCTGCACTGGATGCACATCAGAGCCCCGCACCCTACTCCTGTTTCACCTCAGCTATGTGCTCCTCGTTGTCCTCTTCCGCAGGGTGGGGAAATCATCAGTGTTAACGGATACTATAAAAGCAGCTTGAATTTACCATATCTGGCAATTCAGAAAGAACCCATTTCAGGCTCAGGACGACTGTGGGAGGCAATGAGAGAAAGTGTCACTTCTCCCTCATGGGAGAGAAGCTGAGTCTCAGAAAGATGAGGTGGTTTGTGTCCCGTTGCTTCGCCATCTCAGACAGAAGAGCGGGTGTGACGTGACCACTGGAGGTGACCTGATTTCTCCTGCTTCCTGCATTCCCTGCGTGAGGCAGGTGGACTTTTCCAGAGGTTTCTATGTTTGAACCTTTCCATGAGTGTGCAGCTCTTCTCCCGGACCTTCAGCCTTGGGCCTCCCTCATGGCCTGATGGAAAGTGCCCTGGACTAGGAGTCGGGAGGCCTGGGTTTGCACCCACATTCTGCCACTTAACCATCCCAGTGGCCTTCAGAATCGTTCCCCTCGTGCGGACGATTAGAACGAGTTTTCAGGTCTCTACGGCTCTTGATGCCGGCATTTTCTGGCCGTCTGGACTTTCCGTAGCGTCACCTGCCTTGTTTAGCGTGAATCTCTCAGCCCCGAGCACGGCAGGAGGGTGGCAGGGGTGCGGGGCACCCACCCTTCAGTGGGGGGGTCCCCACTTCCACCGTGTAGTCGTGGGGCTGCGATACCATGACCTGTGCCCACCGCCTCCCGCAGAGGGGGCCAGCCGAGCCCTGTGCGGGGACTCCGCTGAGCAGCATATGCCACCGGCTCGGCGACGTGGCCGCCTCGCCTCCGGTGCCCTCCGGTGCGCTTGGTCTGGGCTGCACCGTCTTGCGGCCATTCCGTGGGGCCCGTCGCTCTCCCCACCTCCCCCTCAGCCCGTCGCTCTCCCCACCTCCCCCTCAGCCTCGCGTCCGCCGCAGCCGCCCTCTCGGACGTGCCCTCAGCCGCGAGCGCCGCACAGGACCGCACCGGCGGCCTCCCCAGCCGGGCCCCGCGGGCCGTGGGGCCCGTGCGCCTGCGCGCTGCGTTCTGCGGAGGCCTGTGCGCGCGGCGCGCGGCCCCGCTGCTGCGGCTCGGCCGTGTCGCGTCTGTCCCACGGCGCTGCCGGCGGCCGCGGGGCCTCGGGGACGGAGAGCAGCGCCCGTCCCCCCGGGCCTGGTGCTGCCAGGGGCTGCTGGGCGCGGGGCGGGAGCGCGGGGGCGGCGGCAGCCCGGGCTGCGGAGAGCGGCCTCCCCTCGCGAAGGGCCGCGGGGGCGGCGCTGGCTTCTGGCTCAACGGCCGCCGGGCGCGGTGGTCGCAGCGCGGGAACTGTTTTGCCTGAGTTTCCGTTTCCTTGTCGCAAGGTCTGTGTGCTAGAACCGCCTTGAATGCGTCATCGTTAGGAGCCTGTGGGATCGTGCGCGGAGGGACCGGGGCCCAGAAGCGGCCGGTCCACTCCCGTCACTGTCACGTGGCCCCAGGGAAGAGCCACTCTAGCTGTTCTTCGCTGTCCCTGCGGCGGCTCTCTGTGCTTTCCGTTCCCCTGGTCTCCTGGGCTCTTCGGCGCGAGGTCGAAGGTCGATAGTAGCCTAAGGTACATCCCGGGGCTGACCTCACTCCCCTCCCTCATCTCCTCACATAGACCTTTTATGATCTCACAGCATCACGAGAAGAAGGAGGAGTACAGTACACAGTAGTCGAGAGAGGGAGAGAATGCATAACTTCTTTACAGTATTTGTTCTATTTGTTCTATTTTATTATTAGTGAATGTCATTAATGCTGTGCCTGATTTATAAATTAAACTTTATCTCAGGTGTGTATGTAGAGGAAACCTCCTAGTACATCTAGGGTCCTGTACTCTCCGCCATTTCAAGCAGGCCCTGGGAGTCTTGGAACGTATTTCCTGGGGAAGAAGGGAGACCACTGTGGTTCAGGAGCGATGATCTCCCCCAAAGTCTACATTCTCTCCTTTCAGTTCTTCTTTTACTGAATCTCCTTCTAGTTTGACCTTGGTCACGCTATTAGATTTTGAAATGTCCCTGGATCTGATTGTCCCAGGTGGTTGTCAGTATGTCAGGTTAGATTCCCTCATCTTGTGGTTGGAAAATCTTGGAGAAGGTGTTATGTGCAGACAGAGTGTCAGTGATCTGACAGCCTCTCAATTCTCTAATCT